CTGTGGTCACGCCGACCGTGGCTGTGCCGGTCGTGCTGGCCATCTACCTCTCCAGCGGCATCACAGCTACCGAAGTCTGTGAAATCTCGCCCTCGTGGGACAGGACCTGGGAGTCCCCAGCGGCGCGGGAGGCGCTGTTGCGCGAGTCGGCGGCCTCGAGGGCGCGGGCCGCCGGCGTCAAGTTCTGCAGCTATCGCTGGGACGGCGCGATTCCGACCGTCTCCATCGTGGGTGCGGACCCGGACCTGTGCCACCCGCTGTTCAGGGCGTCACTCCTCGTGGCCAGTACCTTTGGCGCGGTCGGCTACCGAGACCTGCATGCCAAGGGCGGCGTTGCCTATATCGCCGCGCACGCGAGCAGCTCCACGGCCGAGCGAGGCAGGAGGGCAAACGCGTCCCTGCTCGCCCTCGCGTGGGCGTCCATGGTCTGCCTCGCGCTCGCGGGGGTCATCAACGTGACGCACTTCAACGCGGCGCACAACGGATGCGCCCTCGGGTTCTACGTTACCAACTCGGGCCACACGTGGGCGCTCTGGAGGATGCAGAGGGTAGCGGCGCACCGGACCCGCCGCCGGCTCGGCGACGCTCCGCCGTCGCTCGCGGGACGGTGGTGCCTGCAGGTGGACCCAAAGGCGCACCGGCCCGGCTCCTCCTCGCTCAAGGAGTGGATGGCCGTTTTGTGGACCATGTGCTTCGGCGGCGCCCTCGTTGTGCTCGGCCAGGTCTTCGCGCCCGTCTCGTGGGCGACTTGGTTCTCCTCCGCTGCGGTGCTCGAGTGGCTCGCCACCGAGCTCGTCAACACGTCGGTACTCATACACTACTTTGATATGCGTCAGCTGCGGCTGCTCGAGGCCAAGCTGTCCTACGGCCAACCCTGAGCGCTGCCTATTACCGTACTCGAGCTACTGTCTCGCCGAGAAAGCAGTGCCGTACAGCGTACAGTACACGGTCTACCGTCTACTGTGTTTTACTCGTGTGTTTCGCTGTGCACGTGTGTGACATTCGGCTTTACAACTTACATGCTCAACGCGCAAAACTCTCTCTCCACGTGTGCACGAAAACGCACACGCACGGTGTCTCAGTCCTCACGTGTCACGACGGTGGGACAGACGGCAGAGACCACACCCGGACACGGAGAGTCGAGAGACGAGCGGCGAGGCGTATACGCGACGCCGCGACTCGATCACGCACTGTTTCCATTCTGAGCTTACGTATAACACATACACACGCGTGCCGTTACTCTATGGAGCGCGGGCGAGGTACGAAAAAGTCCGTCGCTCGCTGTGTCTCACACCCTCAGCAGCCCGCTCTCGCTCTCGTTCCCGCGCGGAAGAGGCTGAAGCCTCGTGGCAGCCCCGCGCCACGCGTTGGGAGGCGGCGCAGCCACGGCCGCGATGCGCGGAAGGCGGGCGCCGAGCGCAGCTCGGCGTCCATCGCCTTGCACACCAGCAGAAAGGGCCGCCGCTGCGCCAGGCCGCCGAGCTGCCGCAGCAGCGCCTCGAGAGAGCTCGGCGCGAGCGGGTTGAACATAAAAAAGACGTCGGCTGCCGCGGGCGGCAAGCGCGACCGGCCGAGGGTGCGAGAGACGCAGCGGTAGCGGCGGCGGCGGCGGCCTCCGGCGAGCCTCGCCAGCATCTCGCGCCCGAGGGCGGCGCGCGCGCCCACCACCTCGTAGCCGTCGCACGAGACGTCTGGACGCCGGAGCGCGGCGACGAGCAGCGCGCGGCCGGAGCCGCAGCCGAGGTCGGCAAACGAGCCACCACGAGGGACTAGGCTGACCACCGCCGCGAGCTCCGCGTAGGGTGTGAAGCTCTCCGCGGGCGGCCGCAGCAGGTGCGTGTGCTCGAGGTCGTACCTCCGGAGCGCTGCCAGCGGCGCGGCGCCAAGGCCGCGCAGCACGCGCGCCTCGTCGATGCCGGCCACCACGTCGAGGAGCAGGTCGATGTCGAGCTCGCTCGATGTCGGCTCCTCACACGCGGCGTTGAGGATCGCCGCCGCCGTCCGCCGCAGCGCGGCATCGCCCGCCGGCGAGAGGTCGGCCGCGGTGACGCCGGCGCGGCGCAGGCACGCGGCGAGCTGCGGGTGCAGCCACGCAGGGCCATCCGCCGGCAGCTCGAAGTACGGCGAGTACATCACCGGGACCTGTCTGGCTATGCTGGAGCCGCGCGCCGTGGGACAGTATCGCCCCCCCCCCTCCCGGGGGAGCCTTTTGCCGGAAGAGAGTTGGCTCGTGAGGTTTTGATTTTCAATACCAAACAACTCTAACACTCACACGCACACTTGAGGTTTTGTGCCATGTGGGACCTAGTAGAGCGAGCAAAAGAGCTTGCCAGGGATGTCGCGCTATTCCGTTCGCCGCGGCAACCCAGGAGACGAGGCACGGGTGGGCGACGCCGACGCGGACGAAGGCGCATCTAGCTCAGGCTGGAAGGCTGAGATTGAGTCCATCACCAACGGTGCGGCCGGCCGAGCGGTCCCGTCGCAGCCCAGGCTGGAAGGCTGAGATTGAGTCCATCACCAACGGTGCGGCCGGCCGAGCGGTCCCGTCGCAGCCCCCACCAAGCAGGTGCGCAAGTCGCCCGCGTCGGAGGCTCCGAGGCCATCATGTTCGGCAGCGCAGAAACGCCCCAATGCGCCGCCCAGAGCCCTGAATTCGCAGAGCGGTGCGACGCCGTAGCCTCTATGATGTGCTGCGCGCGCTAGGCGCACCCTGGCGCCGGGTGCACCCGGACCCACCCGGAGGGGCCCGGGAAGAGGGTCTAGCGGCCCTCCAGCGGCCCCCCAACGCCCCCCCCGCGGCCCTGATTTGGTAGGTATATCACACAAATGATGGGTCACTATAATACCCACGACTCAGGGTACCGGAGCGTCGCTGAGCCTCCTCGCGGACGCGGAACTTTTGTTCCACCTCGGGGCTGTTCCAGTCGCTGTAGATCTGGAGGAGCTCCGCCTTGCAGCGGTAATACAGTTTCTCGAAGCAGGCTGCCCGAGCCTGAAGAATGGCACACTCGTGACACTTGTCCTCGTGGGCGAGCTGAATCCCGTAAACGTTCCGCATATCATCGAATTGCGCCTCGTTCAGGCCGGCGTCGATCATCCGACGGGTCACCCGACGTTCGAAGACGCTTTCCCGATCGCTGTCCGAAGACGCGTCGTCGGGACGAGAGTCGCTGGCAGGCAGGTCCTCGACCGCCGGCTCCTCCTCGACCGCGGGCTCCTCTGGCGTCGGCACGTCCTGCAACGTTTCTGGAACGACAGCGAGAAGCGCCTCCGCGCCCGCCTGCCGCCGCTTGCACTTTCCCAACTCCTTGTCCACGCCGCTCGCGTGCGTCTCGAGCCGCTTGCCGTACACGACCGCCTGCTCGAGTCGCGCGCCCGCCAGCTCGCCGCGTAGGTCCCACACAAGGTACGCCAGCGCAGCCTTCTTCAGGTTCTTTATCTGGAGAGCCATCAGCGCGCCGCGCCGCTGCGACAAAAAGAGCGTGTTTACGGCAGCTTTCGCGGCGATGATGATGCCGTTGGTGACCTCGCCGACGATGCTGACCTCGTTGGAGGGTGCGGGGACGGGATGGTTGCCGAGGAGCATGGTCTCGAGGCGATTTAAGAGCGCGGTGGGCTCCAAGGCGAGCTGCGCCGAACTGGAGCGAGTCGGCCGCGCCCGAATTGCTGGCGCCGCATCGGCGCCGGTCGAGTCCGACACGACCGCGGTCTTCTCCACCGGCTCGAGGTTCGCTATCCGCGGCGCTGCACGGGGAGCTGGGAGCCGCTCCCCGCGCCGAGGACTCGGCACCCTCGCAGCCAGCCCCAACGTCTCACGTCGTTCGCTTAGCGCCCGGGGCTTCGTCCAGCACCACTCGCAACAGCTCTCGCGCGCCGCCGTCTGTGGCGACGCGCAGAACATCAACGGTCAACGCTGCTCGCAATATGCGTGTCGCGCACTCATTCATGACCGGTCTCAATGCCCCACCCCCCTGCGCGCGGGCCTTCTAGGCCCGCGGGTAGTCTCCCCCCATCCCCAGGGCCTCCAGGGCTCGCACCTCAACCTCTCACAGACCAGCGCATAGCGCCATATTTCCCAGGTTATTTTAAAAGCACGTCTTGTCCTTTCGCCTGCGGAAACGACCAGGGCCCCCATTCGTGTCCCCGCCCGCCGGTCTCAACTCGATTCCAATCTGGCCGCACGGACCCTCCGCTCTCCCCGCTCGGCACCGCAGCACCATGGCAAGCACCCCGCAGAAGGGACGCGCGCACTTCGTGAGCAGCCCTGCAGCCCCCATACTGCACCTCCGTCCCAGGCACTCCTGAATCGCCGCACGCACCTCTGTCCACACAGGGCGAAATGGTGGAGACGCCGGGCGGCAAGCAGACGCCGAGCAGCAAGGCGTCCAAGAAGGTCAACGACTCCAAGTTCGGCGAGACGATCGTCGAGGAGGTGCGCTCCCGCTACACGGCCGCCCTCTCTCACCTTCCTGACCCCGCGTCGCGCCTCCTTCAGGTCCAAGTGAGCGTGACCGTCATGCTGACCGGCGTCGCCCTCGTCGACATGGGCTACGACAAGGAGCTGCGGGTGTGAGCCTCCCCCCCTCCCCTTCCCCATCTGGGCCCGTCCTAATCCCCAGTTCCCGTCGGAGTAGGACGCGCTCCAGGCCGCCATGTTCGAGATGGCCGACACGTGGGGGTGCATCAACACGTACCTGCCGCAGCATGTGACGCGGAAGCGGATTCTCGACTTTCAGGGCCAGACGTGGACGGACAAGCAGGAGACGGAGCGGCCCAACAAGAACTATAAGCGCGCTCCGGGCTGGTCGAACGTGCAGTACCAGATCAGGGGGTACATCGTCCACCCCAACGACCTCGCCAAGGTGCGCGCGACACAGCTCCCGCCCCTGGCCGGATCTCTCCCCCCCAACACCCGCTACTGGCAGCCATCGGCGGACCTCCCACTCATTCAAGACGAGACGAGAAGAGAAGGAGAAGTAGAGGTCCCTGCCGCGCCTAAGGGGTCAAGACCGGGGAAGGGCACTGGAGACGTGCCGTCTCTGTGCTGCCGAGTCTGCATATGCTCTGTCTGGGTCCCTAGTATGGGTTGGGGACATATTCACAGCAGTGTGATGGGGTCCCCTAACACCCACGGTGATTTCTTTTTCCGCCGAGGTGGCTGGATCTGCACACCCTGGCGCTGGTGCGTCACCGCGCGTGTCGACGGTTGCGCACCCCGCCCCGCTCACAGGGCGTGCATCATGTTGAAGAGTGACAGTTTGTCACGTGTGCCACGTCGAGCGCTGGCTATTTTTCTTCCAATAGTCTATTTCGTGAAAGCGAAAAGAAAATAAAATTCAGAAAAAGAAAATCTGACACGCTCCGCATGCCGGCCTCCCACTGGGCCTCCAGCGGTGCCGCTCGGCGGCGGCGCCGAAGGCGTCGAGGCACGAAGACTTTGGACGTGGGCAGCTGGCAGGTCGTCGTCGCCGACAGGCACGCGGTGCTGCCCGAAGGCATGACGCACCTGCCGGACCGGGCGTTCCGTGGCCGCGCCTCTCTCGTCTCGGTCGCCTTCCCGCGCAGCCTCGTCTCCATCGGCAGCTGCGCCTTCTCCGGCTGCTCCTCCCTCGTCTCCATCGACCTCCCCGCCAGCCTCACCTCCATCGGCATCCGCGCCTTCTCCGGTTGCTCCTCCCTCTCCTCCGCCTCCTTCCCCGCCGGCCTCACCTCCATCGGCCACAACGCCTTCGAGGGCTGCTCCGCCCTCTCCTCCGTCACCCTCCCCGCCGGCCTTACCTCCATCAGCAGAGGCGCCTTCTTCTTCTGCTCCGCCCTCTCCTCCGTCACCTTCCCCGCCGGCCTCACCTCCATCGGCCGTGACGCCTTCCACGGCTGCTCCGCCCTCACCCGCGTCACCCTCCCCGCCACCCTCACCTCCATCGACCATGGCGCCTTCCGCGACTGCTCCGCCCTCACCACCGCCGCCTTCCCCGCCAGCCTCACCTCCATCGGCGACTGTGCCTTCGACGGCTGCTCCTCCCTCGCCCGCGTCACCCTCCCCGCCGGCCTCACCTCCATCGGCAGCCACGCCTTCCGGGGCTGCTCCTCCCTCGTCTCCGTCACCCTCCCCGCCGGCCTTACCTCCATCAGCAGAGGCGCCTTCTTCTTCTGCTCCGCCCTCTCCTCCGTCACCCTCCCTGCCGGCCTCACCTCCATCGGCGGCTACGCCTTCTACCGCTGCTCCTCCCTGACCCGCGTCACCGTGCCAGACACCGCCACGATCAGCGACGAGGCTTTCGATTCTGAGACCACCGTCCTCCGCCTCCGGCCCGCAAGCATGCGCGACTCGCAGCGCTGGTACGAGGTGGTGGACGGGGCTCTGGCCTACAAGCGCTGCCGCCCCCTCCTCTACGGCTGGCTAGAGCGGGCCCAGACCAGGCTCGGCTCTTACGGCCCGGATGGCGCGGCGCGCCAGCGCGACCTCGAGGAGTTCGAGGGCGACTTTGCGCCGCTTGTAGAGTGACAGTTTGTCACGTGTGCCATGTTGAGCGCGGGGCTGCTGCGCCTGCGGCGTCGTGTGAGCTGATCGTTGTGTGTCGACCTTTGGGACGACCTGTCGCCCGCGGAGTACACGGACGTCTGGCCTCTACCGCTCTAGCTGGGACGAACACGACTCACGAGGTCACGAGCAACCCCCGATGTTTTTGCGCCGCCGTCTGTGGCGACGCGCAGAACATCAACGGTCAACGCTGCTCGCAATATGCGTGTCGCGCACTCATTCATGACCGGTCTCAATGCCCCACCCCCCTGCGCGCGGGCCTTCTAGGCCCGCGGGTAGTCTCCCCCCATCCCCAGGGCCTCCACAGGGCTCGCACCTCAACCTCTCACAGACCAGCGCATAGCGCCATATTCATATGTGAAAGCGAGCAGGGGCGCCGCACTTCACGCAGGTCGACACCCCTAGACGGCGCGGAGCCGAGGCCGTCCGTGCCACGAGTGCGGGACGCACGCCGTCCGTGCTGACGCCCCCGCCGCCGCGCAGGCGGGTCGATCACGCTGCCCTGCTTCTCGATGAATATGCCCTTCGCGGGGCTGGTCGCTCATGGGCGCAAGACGCTCGAGACGCGCAACGGCACGATGTTTGAGCGCGCGACCGGCCCGCGCGTCTAGAGGCAGTCCAGAACAGACGGGGCAGTAGGACGGGATGCTCCATGCAGATCCCTGCAGGTCCCTGCAGCCTGCCAGCACTCGAGAAGTCTGTGGACCCACGCCACACGCGCCTCCCTTCCTTGACTCGAGAGACGAAGAGAAACGGAGAGACGCCTTTCAATCACTCGGTGTCGAGACGCCGCTCCGACGCGCTCGACTCTAGTCCTCGCACCGCAGGCCTCTGCCTGTTGCACGTGGGGCGGCGCACCTACCCGGACGGTGCATCACATGGCGAGTCACTGTGAGCCCTCGAGGCCCTTGGAACGGGAGAGGGATGCTCACAGGCGGCAAGCATCGCGCCATCCTCGCGGAGGCGGGCGACAGCGAGGAGGAGATTGGGCGCACGACGGCGCTGCCGCCGGGCTTCTCGCGCGGCGGCGTCGTCGCGCTGCTCGAGCTCGGCGACACGCGGCCGGCCAGCCTCGAGGAGAGGTCGACGGCCGAGGTGTGGAGCAGACCTCGGCACATCTCTCGACTTTTGGACCCCTCGGCTTCGCGGTCTGTGTCATCTCGGCACACACCGTTTGGCCGCGCGTACGTCCCACCCTCCACAGCCCTCGGGACGCCGCGTGTCTCGGACGCATCACGCCTCTCGGATGCATCTCGCCTCACCCAGCCGGCCTCACCCCTCGAGCTGTTCGGCCGCGCAGGTGCAGAGCGCCGCGTGCGCCCTTGGCAGCGACATGGGGCGCTACCTCACTGAGGCGAGGTGGGGAGCGTCCCCGGGAGGGAGGGAGTGGCGGGAGCGAGTGCGAGGAGGTGTGTGCGGCCAGCTGGTTGGTTGGGAGGGAGGGAGGGGCGGGAGCGAGTGCGAGGAGGTGTGTGCGGCCAGCTGGTTGGTTGGGAGGGAGGGGCAGGCTGCTCACCCGCGCGCACCGGGCCTTGCTTTTTGAATGCCGGGCCAGCTCCTGCCTGTCTGGGTGTGGAGATGCGAGGGGTTCCCGGCCCTTGCCTGACCAGGTTGTGTTGTACCTTAACCTACCTCGACTTACCTAGGTGAAGCGGGCGTCCTTCCTCAAGGCGCCGGTGGCGATGCGCGGGCAGCCGGGGATGTTCTCTGCGACCGTGCCGCGCGCGGCGCTCCCCGACGGCTGGGAGGTCGTGGTTGGGGAAGAGGGCGCGAGTCGCGCTGCGGCACAGGCGGTTGGAGCGCCGAGGGAGGGGCCGAGAGTGCGGCAGACCTATGGCTAACCTCTTTTGCCTTTCGCTCTATTACTATTTCGATCATTATGAGTCTTCGGGGGTTTTGGTACTATACCTTGAAGTTTGTCTCGTAGTTTCTCATCAAACAGAAACACCGTCGGCGCTTGGGTTCTGAGCCCTGGTCTGACACGTGACAGCCTCACCTTTGTCGACCTGGCCGGCTCCGAGCGCACCAAGCGGGCGCGCACCGAGGGCGAGGCGCGGCAGGAGGGCAACGCGATCAACCTCTCCCTCCTCAATCTCAACAACGTCATCAAGGCGCGCGCCGATCGCAGCTCTGTTGTGCCGTACAACAGCTCCTCGCTCACCAAGCTGCTCGCCGACCGGCTCGGCGGCGCCACCCCGACGCTGGTGCTCGCCTGCGCCTCGCCGGAGGGGGAGCACGCGGACGAGACAATCTCGACCCTGCAGACGATGTCTCTCGCCCGCATGATAGAGACCAGGCCAAAGATTGCGCGCAGACCTGCGACGATCTCTGTGGAGGAGGCGGCCCGGCAGGCTGAGGAGGCGGCCCGGCATGCAGTGCGTCCACTCCGGCGACCGTGACGCCGTCGGTTCTCGCCTATACCGGCTAGTGTGGAGCTCTCAGTGGGGTTGCGTGTTTTACTAGTGATGCTGCACTAGGCGGCCCGTTTTTAGCAAAAAGCAGATACCAAATCGCGCGTGGTCATCGAAAAACCGCATGTTCGCCCGTCTGGGACCTCTTCGTACGGCTCCGAAAACCGCTCCTTAACGACGACTACGCGGCCCGGCGGTCGATCTGCGCCTTCTCAGCGGTGGAGGGGATGTGGGCGGTACGTGTGGACCGCGTCGTGCTGCTCCGGGGGGGGGGGGTCTGCAGACCACCCGGCCGAACTTCAGAGTCGTGGCGCTCCTCAAATACCGCTCAAACGCCCACGATGTTGTGGAGGGGACATATGCTGATGATCCTGGCCCGATTGGGTCGCTCAGAAAGCTTCTGGGCGGTCGTTAAGGTTCGCTCCCCGCACACCGGCCCGGAAGTATACTTTATGGTACCCTAGACGTGGAACGAGGTCCTCCCTAGTCTACTTCCTAGTAGCTAGTAAAGCCGTAGTAGTAGAGGTGCGCGTTTTTTTATTTAAGCAGAATAGCCAAGCTCATGTACAGCGACGGCGAACCGGGGGCGGAGACGGTCGGCGAACGCCGTAAAGCAATTTGGCCGCACTCTCAGGCCACTGGAGCGCGCGCCGAGCCAGACACGACAACTCAAAATCTGGCAACCTTTCGGTCCGGAACACAGTCGCATGGCCAAGCGCCGCGCAAGGCGACAGGCAAGGCGGGTGAGTCGACGCGCGCAGCTCAGTCGATGCCCGCGTAGCAGTTGATCATCATCTGGAAGCCCTCCAGCTCCGCCGCCTTGCCCTCGGCAATCTTGGAGCACAGCACCGGCATGTCGACAGCCTGCGGTCGACCATGGGGGTGGGTGGGTGGGGTGGGGCCGCCGGGGCGAAGGGTGCTCGCGGCGGCGTCCGTGGCGCCATCTCTATCCTTTTGGTAAAATAACATATAACTATTGTATGCAAGCACTGCAACAAGCAGAAGCGTTTAGTAGACAATTCCAGCATTAGCGGGCTTCCATTAACAAT